CCCCCCCCCCCCTTGAAGTTTCTGGATGTATCTCAGTTGTTGGGAACACATCGACCTCTCCGCTGCCCTGAAGGCCGGCGGATAGGGTTTGCCAAACGATGTGTACTCCAAACGTTTTCCCGCCAACCGCTCGTAAATTGTTTGCAACGCAATTCGAAATGCCCCCATGCCAAATCGCGGGGCGGGAAACTTTGCCTGGTAGACAAAATCGTCTGCCGCGAAGTAGAGTGGCAGCTGGGTTGGTGGTGGCATAATTGGAACAGCCAAAGCCGAGATAGAATTGCTATCTCCGGCGACAGCAGAGGCGGGAGTGCCACCTGGCAGGCCTCCTGATTGAAGAACGTCGCAGATGACCTGGATGTCGCGACCCCAATTAGTTGGGTCACTAACGACAAACACGCTGCTGATGTGTCGGTGCTGATCCTCAACGCTAGCACTTTCTGCTGGATGCAAAGTGCACTTCGAGCCGTCGTTCCTGGGTACGCCCACCCCCCCAGGCCTGGCCTCTCGGCAGAACAGAGAATACAACGGATCAATGTCGGGGTACCGTTCCACGAGCTCGTCGATTGTCATGACATGTTGGAATCCATACTCTTTCATTACCAACTTTGGCTGATGCTTTCCTAAGACGAGGACCTTCTTGTCACAGAACCTTTCCAAAAGTAGATCCCGGAAGGGAGTATGACCTAGAATCACTTGTTCCTCGTTGAATTGCAATCCGAAGATTTTGCTCAACTCCATCGCCTTCATCCTCTCGGTCACTCCTCCCCCATTAGTCAGGAAAACAAAAGGCACGTGGCGCTCTCCTGATGATGCTTCCGCCGTTAACCGTACCAACCTCCTCAGTGCGCGTTCTGCCCCAGGCATCGGATGCCTGCCTTTAAGTAACACGCCGTCAATATCCAGGGCCACACCAAACCTCGGCCGCCGGGGTGTGGCTTTCAATGACCGCACTGCCGCGGCTGCTGTGTCCTCCTCCTCCGCCCATCTCCCTAGCAAACCTCTCCTCCCGTAATTAGGCCAGAGCGACACCGAGTAGGGGCGGGAGTACAAGCAGAAGGACAAACATTGAGGAGGCGGCAGATGGTCGAGAAGCCGCTGAAGCAGAGAGTCTGTGCTTTTATAGCACAGGTGTGTGGGCGGGTGTAGACATGATGATGCTGTCGCAGCAACAAATCGGCCCAATGTCGTTACAAACAGCCGCCTTGCGCTTGATCTTGTGACGGTAGCCATTCTCCACCGTCACTTTTCTCTCAATGACATGCGCTCACCTGACAAGACAGAGAAATCGAAAACACGAATGATTGTGAAGGTCAGAAGAAGAAGACATAAGAGAGCTTCACTACTGGAAGCCCACTTGATACTTACTTGGTCTTTAACATGACTGCTGGTCTTCAAAATGCCTGCTGAAGAAACCTGCTGCAGTACAAATAGGCCCGCTGAATCGTGTCAAGTCCTAGAACCGGTCCCGTACAAGCGGACTTGCACAGAAGAGTATCAGTGGAAGTCTGCATGATATATATATATATATATATATCGTCACAAACAGAACTGCCCGGTAAACCGTAGGCAGAGAGAGAGAAGAGGACAACAAACGAGGGGCTGTGACAATATATATATATATATATATC